CGTCACAAACTCATCAATGGGCATTATTCTCACTGTGGGATGCATATTTAATTTTCTGTTTATGATGACTTCAATGCTATTGGTCACTAGGCTGTCTTTCTGTAAATCCATAGTGATTGATAGCTATTTCTGTGACCACGGGCCTCTATACAGACTGGCTTGCAATGATAACCTGCCGAGCTATATAATGGCAATGTTATTCATAACGTTACATTTTCTTCTACCATTGTTTCTGATTTTTATATCTTATGTATGCATTTTGTTGGCGCTGTTTAAAATTGCATCATGGGAAAGACGTCTAAAAGCCTTAAAGACCTGTTTTTCCCACCTAATATTAGTATCAGCATATTATTTTCCAATATTGGGCATTTACATAAGTGCAATGGCTGGCTCTGTCCACCGCAATGCAAGGATAATTAATATATCGCTTTCATATGCCATTCCTGCCATGCTGAATCCCATTGTGTATTCTCTGAATACTGCCGAGATGAAGGGCTTTGTAAAAAAAATGCTCAAAAGAAAAAAATATAAGAGCACAATAGTAACTACGGCAAACAAATAAGTGACAAATAATCAACTAATCAACAAGTAGTTGAGAGACATTAACATGAAATTAATTCAGGTTTATTTGTTATATACAATCTAGAAAGATAGGTTAGTTATTTCTGTATTGGAGATTTAGAAAAAGACTTCAAAATGAATGTTAAATTGTTTAAAGAATGTTATTGTTAAACAATAAATCACTGTGTGTATATATACTTCAGGGCTGTGAATGCATAAAAAAAATATAACCAATTAATCGACGAGTTTTCTGTGTTACTAATGTGAAAAAATGGCAAAAATTTGTATCAAATTAACAGTTTAGTGTGGGTTACATGCAATAAACTTGAAGCATTTAAAAACAGTTTGTGTTTTTGTTACTGAGTTTCAGCTACATATTTGGGGAAAATGGTTAAAAAAACATCATTACATCAGAGCATCAAAAGACTATTTTAATATACTGTGATTATACCTTTTTTTTTTTTTAACTCTCAGGTTCATGAGAATGATCTATATATGATGTACAGATTATTCATCCATGCATCCATTAACTTCCATTTATCTGAGGTCGGGTCGCGGGGGCAGCAGTCTCAGCAGGGAAACCCAGACTTCCCTCTTCCCGGCCACTTCATAGTCCCTTCAGCGTGTCCCGGGTCTTCCCCGGGGCCTCCTTCCAGTGGGACATGCCTGGAGCATCTCACCAGGGAGGTGTCCTAATCAGATGCCCGAGCCACCTCATCTAACTCCTCTCAATGCGAAGGAGCAGCGGCTCTACTCTGAGTTCCTCCCGAATGACCGAGCTCCTTATCCTATCTCTAAGGGAGAGCCCAGCCACCCTGCGGAGGAAACTCATTTCGGCCACTTGCACTCACGATCTCGTTCTTTCGGTCACTACCCACAGCTCGTGACCATAGGTGAGGGTAGGAACGTAGATCGACTGGTAAATCGAGAGCTTNAATAGGGCTACCATTATAAAGGGTTTATGAATGGTTTATAATCCAGTTATGTAGCACTTTGTAAATCATTAATAGACAATTATAAAAACAGTTATAACACAGTTTTCTTTTTATTAATGAGTAACTACTATTTATAAGCGGCAAAAGCCACTTTTAAATGAAAATGTGAAAGCCATATTGTAAAGTGGTACCTCATTTTGTCAGAAGTGTACATACTGTATTATATATGTTCTCTATTGTGCAAAAACAGATATAGCATTGTAAGCTAACTATTTTTACTTGTCCACTTTTTAGAGATTGGTGGAGTTATTTACTTAGACTAAAATCATACTGTAACTTTCAGAGACAAAAATATTTTACAAGTTTTCTTCTCTGAATGCCCTGACTATGGAGGCCACTGAGGACCTGCTTAACTTTGTTTTGCACATGTTGCCCTGCTTCCCTCATTGTCATGCCATGAACCAGAACATGATCTATGATTTTTGTCCTAATTTCATTTTATAATTATAGCTCTTCATCTCTTCCTCATTGTCCACCCCCTCTGACAAGCAACCCCCTTCCTTTTCTGTTGTAGTGCTCTATTGTTGATTTCACTCATGCCACTTGCTTTTGACTTGTCGTATATCCTGTTTATTGATTCGGTTCCAAACATCACAGATTTAACACGTGTGGTCAGTTTTGAGTGGTAGTGTGTTAATAATGAAAACAGGGTGTTAGCTGTGTGTCACTTTTAGACTCTGTGTGCCATTCTGGCTCCAAATGTGTTTATAATTTTTCTAAACAGGAGATTCAGATTTGCAAATTGTGTCTAACCAGATGAACAGTGTCTGTTTTGTCAACTGTGGGATTGATTTGATAAAGGAGTTTTGATGGTTGACAGTTTAGTTTTTAAAATGGGGTTTAGTGTTTTAGCAATTCAGAAAAACCGTAACAAACTCATTTTCGTAGCAGTGGGCTAGGCTAACTTGTAGCATATAGTATAATGTAATCCTGTGATATAAATTAATTATAGATGCAGTAAAAAAAAAGAACTTCCAAAAAACTGAGGGGGCCTTGGACCACTTTTGGAAGGTGCTGACCACTGCATTATAGGAACATCCCACAAGACCTGTCATTTTGGAAATACTCCGATTCAGTCACCAAGCCATCAGAGGCAGATAACTGTGTTCACAAGGTGGTGGCTGCAGGCTCCATTTTCACCCTTGGCTGCGCTCTGTCAGTAGTAATAAGAAATAGAGTGATAAGCCTCTAATCATGTCATCCATCTCCTTGTGGTCACTATATGGCACTGTTTCAATTCTGGTGCAGTTTATCTCAAAATTTGATCAGGTCTAGATCTTCACCCCTACAACATGTCTGTAAATGTATTTTTACAGACATTAGGCAAATATATTTTGAGTTATCATACTAATGGCATGAAATGTCTGAAACTACCCTACTTCACTGCTATGCGGCTCTGCTTCAATTTTTCTCAAAATCTGTTCACTTCCAGGTCATATTAAAAGTGTTACATACTGTCAGCCATCTCAGTATATTCATTCACTATGAAAAGTGCACTTACATGGACATTAAACTTCTGTAAAGCTTAATTTAAAAAAATATCCTGACTTTTCCAAGAAAATATTTGTGTGACGCTCCTGCAAGAACAAAAGCTACGTATCCCAAAACCATGGATAACAAATATATATTTAAAGACAAGATGACTTATCTGTTACCAGCAGCTGACAGTTTCTATGGGCCAGAGATGAAAGTCAGGTGACTTAATAGTCAGAGGACCTATAAAGAGCTGAACGGTTTCCTAGATCCTTAGTCTGTTTGGACGGAAATACAGAAAGCATTACGACAGTCACATTATCTTTTGTAAAAACCCTACAGATATCATTCACACAGAAAGGTAAGTTTGTTCTTAAAGAGATCCGTCAGCAAGCATCTTGCAGACCTTCTGATAGAAATTGTTTCCCTTTTCATTATAAAAATTCACTGAATTTTAAAAATGATTGCATGTGGTCTTTGATATTGATGGAATATGATATTAATGTTTGTTTTGAATACATACATACATATATTTATTTATTTATTTATTTTCCAGGACAGCATTTCTAGCAGTGGGCACTTTAAGTACGTGTCTGCTGTAATACAGGTATTGGATATTTAGCTGAAATTTGTCATTTTTAAATCTGTATTATTCTAGAAATTAAATGCACATTAATGTCGACAACCAGATTGTTAGGTTGACAAATCGAGATAATTACTGTTAATGACAGTTAATATTGTTTCTATATTTGAAAAAACACGAATTGTTGCTGGGGAGGCACATTGGCTAGCTTCCCTCACACTTCCAAGGTGGGACAATTTCCATGCTCTTCTCATGTTGCATGATTTTCTTCTGCGTACTCCAGTGTGCTACTGCACTCCAGGAGGATATTTGATATCTGTAAATTGCCCATAGTATATAGTGATGTGTATTCTGTGTATGTGTGTGCCTGGCAATGCACCGAGGGCCATCCCAAGTGCTCCCAGGCCTTATGCCCTGAGCTGCCTGTGATAGGCTCCAAACCCCTAGTGACCCTGCACTGGATAAGCAGTTGGGAGACAGGTGGATGGATTATCTGTAAAGCAACTTGCAAGTTTAAGAAGGTAAGCATGTTTTCCTTTTTCAGATTAGACAAGACTGAAAACAGCAAGCCTGAGAAAAGATGAGCGACACATTAAACCAAAATGCCACTCCAAACTCTTTTGTGCGTCCTCAGTATTTTTTCATCACTGGTTTTTCTAACATACCTCATGCCCAGTACTACTTCATATTCTTGTGTTTGGTTTATGTGGTCACTGTCTTGGGAAACTCTTTTGTCACACTCATTATTTATGTAGACCGTTCTTTTCACACCCCAAAATATATGGCTATTTTTATATTAGC